ATTGAAAAAGGAAAACATTTTCTCAATTGCTTCAGTCTTTATACCTCACAGTCCATCCGTTACCACAGCACTGATTGTGATGTCACAACTGCAGTTAGTTACACTCAGAGACAATCAGGAAAAAGGCCAAGGGAGATGGTGCCCAGGCAACAATAACTTGTGATTACTACTTGTGAAATAGAAAGTTTAAATTCAGGAGACCTGCTTTCAGATTGTCGTTATGCCACTTACTAGCTATGTATCCTTAGGCAACTTGCTTAATACAACAATGATTTATGAACTTGATTTCTTAAGTCAAATGGTGTGTGTTCAAATCCTCATTCTGCTAGTTAGCATAGGCACACTAGTTAACTTCTCTGTGCCTCTGTTCTTTACCTATAAATTGAGGAACTATGACTGCCTATCTTCAAAAGGTTGCAGAAAGAATGAAATATTATATAAAGCATTTATCAAAGAGCCTTCTCCCTACTAAGTGCTCAGAATTTGCCTTTATAAAGTATCTGTATTTTGAGTGACTCCATTGTTTGGTAAAGTTCTACGTAATAACTCTCTGAGTTTATTCATTGTTAAAAATCAGGAAACAATTGTATGTACTTCATAAAACTGTTATCAGGACTAAACGTGGGAACCCAGAGAAAAGTATTTTGTAAGCAAAAGGCTTTAAATTATCATTTGGTTAACATCCATATTTTGTTATTGTAAGATGATCTTGTATTAATTGAAAAAATATTTACTAAGTGCTTAGAATATAAAAGTACTGGACTAGGCATTGTGCAGAATATCAATCAGATATAGATTTTATGGTAATACAAGAATATTGATACCTCTAATATAGAAGATAATGAACACCAAACCAATACTCTAAATGGAAAGTCTTTGAGGTAAGCATTGAAGAACAGAAAGATTTAAACACGAGGGAGGGAAGAGAAGAAGAGGAAAAAAGGAGGCATTCCTGACAAATAGTATCACAAAAAGTTAGGAGCTGAAAAAATACAGATCATGTATAGTAAAAAGTGAGTGGTACAATTTAGCCAGAGGAGAATATGTGAAGGGATGGAGGGCAAGTAATGAGAATGAAGCTACACATAGAGTATGTTATATGTAGGAAGAACAACTGCCACAATTTAGATTAAAAGTTATAAGGAATTAAAAAGAACTGCCTAGGTAGAAAATATATAGAAAAGGATTAGATAAGTTTGGTATTCTTAAGCCTCTGCCATTATTATTCTATGTTCGTGTTTCAGGAGGTGGTGAAGGAAGCATACTGACTCTCACATCAAGTTCACATTCCTGAATCTGAACTTCAAAACCTTTTGTAATCTGTCCCAGAAGCCCATCTTTTGTCACACTAGTCACCAGCTCTCTTGGTTTCCTCTGAGGCCATGAAAAACACCAGGTCCCAATTTCATGTGTTGGCTATTACTAGCTCCTGGTTTATTTTCTTCATCTTCTACCTATCTATGCCAGATTATAACCCATCCCTAAATCTCATTTCCATCAGAAAGCTTTCCTTGATGATCTAGACCATATCACTCTCTTCCATCTCTACGTACTTTACTGCATATCTATTTTATCAAATGGCAACTTGGAAGAACTATCACTGACCTAGGAATAAAATAACAAGGGTCCTGGCAGCATGTCTTCTCTTTGATTTGAGGCACGTTATTCAATGCCACACGTTCTATCCTTGGTAAAATGAAATATTTGTGAATTAACAAACTTTAAAGTCATTTCCTGTCATGCATTCAACAAATATATAATGAACATCCACCTGTGCTGAGCTCTACCCCAGGTGTTGAGGATATAGAGGTGAAAACAAAATATTTATCTATCTATTTATCTATCAGCTATCTATACTGTAATTGCATTCTGGTTTTGTTTTCCCTTTTTCTTTTGGATATGGAAGTTTTACTCTGTTGCCCAGGCTGGAATGCAGTGGTGTGATCTCAGTTCACTGTAACATCCACATCCCATGTTCAAGCGATCCTCCCACCTCGGCCTCCAAAAGAGCTGGGATTAGAAGCATGCACCACCACACCTGGTTAATTTTTGCATATTTAGTAGACACGGGGTTTCACCATGTTGGCCAGGTTGGTCTTGAACTCCTGACCAAATGATCCACCCACTTCCACCTTCCAAAGTGCCAGGATTACAGGCGTGAGTCACTGTGCCTGCCAACTATGATTGCATTCTTATAATGTGGTGGTTCTCAAAATTGAGCTTGAATTAGAATTACCTGGAAAACTTGTTCAAAGATTTCTCTGTTTCTGATGCAATAGATTTGGAGTAGGGCCCCAAACTTTTATTTTCTAAGATATTTCCAGGTGATGCTGATGCCACTGAACCAAGGACCACATTTAGAGACCTTCTGTTCTGGTAGACTGTCTATTGTTTTCACTGCTGTATTGTCAGTGTTTGGAATAAATATTGATGGAATTAAATAATACATTTGAAGCACTTAGTTAACTGATAAAGGGGGATATACAATTATTTTATACTTTAGAAGAAAAATTGCAATTTTGCTGAAAGGTAAAGGAGTTACTATAATCAGAAAGGTACAAGTTATAAGGAATAGTTTATATCCAAAGAAAAACAAAATTACTTCTAACCTAGAGGAAAGGGTAGAAAGGTCATAGAAAGCTTTGTGGAGCAGTTTATTTGCACTATTCCTTGAAGGACCCGTACACTTATTTCAAAAATGCCTGTCATTACTCAAAATATTTTTAGTTCTTGTCTTTGCAATTTGTCTACTTAATCTATAGTGAATCTTTTCTTTTTTCCCTATACTCTATGGTGAATCTTTTTCTTAAATTCCCTCAAAGATTATAGAATTTTTATATTCTGATATAAGGTTTGATATTTGGAATTAGCTAAGCATGACATTTTTGCCAAATCTGGTCAGGAAGTTGGGTGATTTTGTTGCATAATCCTGTTCTTCGTTAAAAATAAAGTACACTGTTCAGTTAGTGTACTGATTTTCTAGTATGACTTACAAATGAGGCCCAAAGCAATTTCAGGGTAGAAGTTCAAAAATCAGTCTGAGGCCAGGTGCAGTGTCTTATGCCTATAATGCCCACTCTCTGGGAGGCTGAGGCAAGCAGATCGCTTGAGTTCAGGAGTTCGAGACCAGCCTGGCCAACATGATGAAACCCCGTCTCTACAAAATGCACAAAAAACTAGCCATGAGCGGTGGCATATGCCTGTAGTCTTTACTTGGGAGGCTAAAGCAGGAGAATCGCTTGAGCCCAGGAGGCAGAGACTGCAGTAAGCCAAGATCACACCATTGCACTCCAGCCTGGCTGATGGGAGTGAAATCCTGTTTCCAAAAAAAAAAAATCATTTTGAGCAATGGATTAGGTTTATAGTTTCTGAAAGTGATTAGAGGACAGCTTCCATTTGGCCGTACATTCTCTTGTGTGTTTGAAATCTGTCTTAACATATTTGGTATCAATCTATTGAAAGAATCAACATCTGAACATACACTATACCATGTACACTTTTCTTCAGAGTGTATGCCATGCTATAAATATCTAAAATTTAAACTTTATGGGAATAAAAAAGCAGTATAAAAATGGATGTTCTTCCAAGTTAGATCTATAAAAAAATATGTACTGGTACCAGGAAATATACATAGGTTTCTCTGAGCTCTTGATTTGGGGCCATTCAGTTAACAATAAGTATTAGTTTATGTGTTCTGGGCATGGAATTACATGGTGGGTCACACTGGTCCTGTATGAAGGGAGGCATGACAAATCATTCTACTAGTTTGCAATAGTGGGACTAAAGAGAACATGGAAAGCCTGTGACTAAAGCACATTCTATAGTCATAACTTTTCCCTTCTTGTTTGTCCCCATAGTCCTTCAACTACTCTCTGTTCACCCAGTCTTCATGTCCAGGGTATCTTCAGTAGCAGATCAGCATGTACTAGAATAGTATATTAATAGTAAATTAATAATGTTTTTAAAACCTTTACCTAAAACCTTTTAATAGAGTATACTAAATTTAGTTCGGTCTGATATAAATGAGAAAATCTACTAACAATCCCTAGGACCAAATGATTCTTAAAGATCTCCAAACCAGCAGCATCAGCGTCACCTGAGAGCTTATTAGAAATGCAAATTCTCCAGACCTGCTAAAGCACAATCTGACTTAACAAGTCGTGGCTCAAGGTGATTCTGATGCATGTGAGGACCACTGGTTTAGATAGTATCAGCAGCAGTAAACAAACTCTGTCAAGCTGTGCGATCTTCTATGAATTTTGCAATATATTATAATACTCCATTACTCTCTTCATGACTACTACATTTAATACACACACAATTACACACATATTCAACTTGTAAGTTACCCTTGACAGAACATGTATAAAAAAGGTATGGCTTCTCTTTGTAAAGTGATGGTGTAGAAGGAAGAAAAATAAATTTGTCTTTAGTTTTTTGAAATGATACTATCCTTAACCCCTCCCCTTTTGTCCCCAATAAATGAATCACACTGGGGAAACATTGCTAGCAGGTGGCTATTCTGTTTCTTTGATATAGCAGGGAAATCTTGTTAGGTGATGTAAATGCACCTTATCATTTGCAAATATAAACTGTCGTGCGTCTTGGGTGAACAGCTAAGTACAGAACCATTTCAAAAACTTGAAGGTAAATGGATGTCTTATTTGCAACTAAACCATCATACTCATGTCAAATCTATTCATTGGACAAGGATTCTGAGGATACATAATACAATTTTTTTGCTGAAATTTAGAAGTTTCATAATCCACTTAAGAGGCATATTTCAGAATAAAATAATTCTCTGTTTTGGAGTTAAAGCACAGACTTGGAGCAGTCCAGTCCACAGATGTATAATGCAATCTATACATATAATTTTAAATTTTCTAATAGCCACATTTTAAAAAGTGAAATGAATAACATTAACTTCAAAATAATTTTTTAATCCAGTATACAAAAATATTACATTTCAACTTATAAACAATATAAAATTGATGAGCTATTTTTACATTTTTTGGTATTTGATCATTAAAATCTTTCATGTGTCTTACATGTATGGCATACCTCAACTGGAATGTTACATTTTGACTGGAAGTACTTTCTTTTTATTTCTTTTTTTTTAAATCTTAGTGTTCTGTGAAATGATTTTTATTTAAAATACAATTTATTACTGCAAAAGTAGATTTTATACCCAAGTTGTCATAAACGCTAAAAAAGTTTTCCAATAGCCTACTGAACATTAGTTTTTATATTTAAATTAATAAAAAATGAAATTTAAAATTCAATTCCTCAATCACACTAGCTGCATTTCAAATATTCAATATGCGTAAGGCAGTGTAGATCTGGAGCGATGCGAGACCAACCTGGGTTAGAATCCTGACTTTGCCTCTTTCCAGCTGCTTGTCCTTGGGAATTTACCTAGCCATCCCCAAGTTTCAGTTCTATCTTCGAATTGGAGTCGAGGAAACCCCACAGTGAATATGTTTTAACTCCTGCCTGCAAAGCTAACAGCAGAAGACAACCACTATTTGTTTTTCCCTTCATGGAAGTGGTGGACTCACTGCATGATATAATAAAAATCAGAACCAATCAATGTAGGGATAGTTAAGTAAATTTCATTATTCCATACTCTGAAGCCATAAAATGCTAATAACTAATTAATCACTAATTTATTTAATCACCAATTAATACTGAAATCGGTTATTATTAAGGAAGAAAACCGTAATATTAGGAATAGCACGACTGCTGCCCGTGTGCTCAAAAAAACCTAGAAGGGTCTGCCACCCATCCATTAACAGCGGTTATAGGAAGCAACAGAGTGGGGGCAGGGTCCAGCCGGCACACGCTTCAGTTTATATTTCTTGTCAGTTAATTTCCAAAAACGTTGTTCTTAAAAGGAAATATAATACTGTTTTACTTTAAGGGGCAAATCTCAAATGTGCTTTGAAACGACTACGCTTTTGCCTCAGTCTGGAATGTGATTTGAAATCTAGCTTAACTATACTATAATAAAAGGCCACATGAAAATACTTTGTCAGAACGAAAAACATGCCGCCTTAAATCCGCTTTCGGTTGGCGGTTTCCCGCCGGTGGAACGGAAGCAAAACCGCCTTTGACGTCAAGGGAGGAGTCCCCTCCCAGTTACTATGGTGAAGTCTATGCGGCCATCTTTACTGTGGTCATCTCGTACCAAGGGTGTTGTAGCGGGGCTGTTGGGGCTCCACAGAAAGTCGGCGGAAGGTGAAATGGGAAAGGAATCATGCGATTCTGTAATAAGAAGCTGACAGAACCACGAAGGATCAGGGACTTAAAGCATTAGATAACTTGTTAGTGGGATGCAGGTTCCACAGGCAAGCAGAACGATTCAAGCGAATCAGTAAGGTTTCTGCCCGGATCTTGAGAGCCGCTTCCGTTGCTCAGCGGAAGTGTCGGTCGCAAGAGGACAGACGCCTGGAAGAAACCGCTATCGGCAGTGTGCACAACCGGAATCATGTCGAGTTTGGCGGTGAGAGACCCGGCAATGGATCGATCACTGCGTTCCGTGTTCGTGGGGAACATTCCGTATGAGGCAACTGAGGAGCAGTTAAAGGACATTTTCTCGGAGGTTGGTTCTGTTGTCAGTTTCCGGCTGGTATACGATAGAGAGACGGGAAAACCCAAGGGCTATGGCTTCTGCGAATACCAAGACCAGGAAACCGCGCTTAGTGCCATGCGGAACCTCAATGGGCGGGAGTTCAGTGGCAGAGCGCTTCGGGTGGACAATGCTGCCAGTGAAAAGAATAAGGAGGAGTTAAAGAGCCTCGGGCCTGCAGCGCCCATTATTGACTCACCCTATGGGGATCCCATCGATCCAGAAGATGCCCCTGAATCGATTACCAGAGCAGTAGCCAGTCTCCCCCCGGAGCAGATGTTTGAGCTGATGAAGCAGATGAAGCTCTGTGTCCAAAACAGCCACCAGGAAGCTCGAAACATGTTACTTCAAAATCCACAACTGGCTTATGCGCTGTTGCAGGCGCAAGTAGTGATGAGAATCATGGATCCAGAGATTGCTCTGAAAATTCTTCATCGGAAGATACATGTCACACCACTGATCCCAGGCAAATCTCAGTCTGTGTCTGTCTCTGGCCCTGGCCCTGGCCCTGGTCCTGGCCCTGGCCCTGGGCTCTGCCCAGGACCTAATGTTCTGCTGAACCAGCAGAATCCACCAGCTCCTCAGCCTCAGCATTTGGCTAGAAGACCTGTGAAGGACATTCCTCCTCTGATGCAGACTCCTATCCAGGGTGGAATTCCAGCTCCAGGGCCAATACCAGCTGCAGTTCCCGGACCTGGTCCTGGTTCCTTAACTCCTGGAGGAGCAATGCAGCCCCAACTTGGAATGCCAGGGGTTGGCCCAGTGCCTTTAGAGCGGGGACAAGTGCAGATGTCAGATCCTAGAGCTCCTATACCTCGTGGACCCATGACTCCTGGTGGTCTACCTCCTCGAGGACTGTTAGGAGATGCTCCAAATGACCCACGTGGAGGGACTTTGCTTTCAGTCACTGGAGAAGTGGAGCCCAGAGGTTATCTGGGTCCACCCCATCAGGGTCCCCCCATGCATCATGCCTCTGGTCATGACACTCGTGGCCCTTCCTCACATGAGATGAGGGGAGGGCCATTAGGAGATCCCAGACTGCTAATTGGAGAGCCCAGAGGCCCCATGATAGATCAAAGGGGTCTACCTATGGATGGTAGAGGTAGTAGAGATTCTCGAGCGATGGAGACTCGCGCCATGGAAACTGAGGTCTTAGAGACACGTGTAATGGAGAGGAGAGGAATGGAGACCTGTGCCATGGAAACCAGAGGGATGGAAGCAAGAGGCATGGATGCAAGAGGATTGGAGATGAGGGGCCCTGTCCCCAGTGCAAGAGGTCCTATGACTGGTGGAATTCAGGGTCCTGGTCCCATTAATATAGGGGCAGGTGGCCCTCCTCAGGGACCCAGACAGGTCCCAGGCATTTCAGGGGTGGGGAATCCTGGAGCTGGTATGCAGGGTACAGGCATACAAGGAGCAGGCATGCAGGGAGCAGGCATGCAGGGGGCAGGCATACAAGGAGGAGGGATGCAGGGGGCAGGCATACAAGGAGTGGGTATACAAGGAGGAGGCATCCAAGGGGCAAGCAAGCAAGGTGGAAGCCAGCCTAGCAGTTTTAGTCCTGGGCAGAGCCAGGTCACTCCACAGGATCAGGAAAAGGCGGCTTTGATCATGCAGGTTCTTCAACTAACTGCAGATCAGATTGCCATGCTGCCCCCTGAGCAAAGGCAGAGTATCCTGATTTTAAAGGAACAAATCCAGAAATCCACTGGAGCTTCTTGAAAGGTTTTAGAAAATATTTGGCTGTAGTCTCAAAGTTTATTCTGTAGCATGGAGAATGGGTGCAAAAAGCTGACTTCTGCATCCCCACACTTGGATTAGGGTTTCCCTCCTCCTAGAACCTAATCTTACTTTTTGTTCTTTTTATTTCTTTCTGTTTTCCTTTTTTATTTTTAATTGAGGGTGGGGGGAGGAGGGAGTGTGTCTGTTCACTTTAAGTTACTGTAAAATAACTCTGAACATGACAACATTATGCCAAATAAGATTACAAAGAATAAGCAGCAATATTGAAGTGTCTACAGTATGTTAACCACATTTTTTAAATGTTGAGTAAAACTTTGTGACAACTGCTCATAAAGACTAAAAGTTGACCTGTTAAAACGTTAATGTACTAAGATGGTTCTAAGATTTTTGGTTGTATAACAAAATAAAGTTTACCCAAAAGTATAAGATACATTTTTTGGTAAACCATTTAAAATACAAAATCCTATTGGAGGCAATAGGATAAACATTGTCTTAGTGTTTTAGAATTATTTTTGAAATATTAGAATTAACAGGATAAGGTTAAACTTGTATTAGAATTGTTTTTTTCTAAAGTTGTGTTACCTGAAAAATCAAGGAGTGCACCTGGTTTACTGTTGCTTCATTTATCCCAGCCTTCAGAGACCAGCAAGGTTCTGCCAGGCCCCAAGCATCAGAGCATGTTGATTTTGCTGTGACAATTCTAAAATCAACCAGGTTACTTAAGTCCACTCTGATGAAACCCTGTCTCTCAATACCTTCCAATTTCTCAATAGTCTTTAAGCCCTAAATCTGAGTCAGTAATTCTCTCACATCCTTCCCAAAAATCAGTGTCTAGGGACCAGTTGATCTGGATGAGTTATACATGATATTTGACTTTTCATAAGTAGTAGGTTTCACTAAGTAAACTCTCAGTTTCTTGGTATCTGGCTTTCATATACAGATGGTGTCCATTTGCTCCACCAGACAAGAGTTAAAAACCTTTAGACTAAACAGCATTTAACATGCCTTTTAGTTTTCTTATTTCATAATCTACTTTTCTATCATTAATCATGTTACCAGAATAATCAAGGCCCAAGTAGGTAGAAGTTTTTATATAGCCTGAATACTCAGTTGACTTATTGCTCATTTTACTTTTTGTAAGGAATACAGCCATTTAGTCCTAATATACATACCAATGAGACAATTAAAAATTGGTTGAAAGATGGGGCTTATTACATCGCGCTACTACGACTTTATTTTTCCTTGAAAATAAAGCCTTGAGGATGTGAACACAAACATTTGTATTATAAAACAAGTAGTAATTAATAAAAGCATAAGTTATCAAATATCAGGTGATCTTCTGTGGAGAAGAAAAACCAATATCTAGTTACAGATTACAAAATGTTTAATACAAAGAGCTGAAAATGTAGAAATTCAGTTATCTTCCCTTTGCAAAACGTTTACATTTTAAATTAGTATTCTTTGTTCACAAGGTTTTTACCCCTATGCTGTTGTTTTCTACTACCTGTTTTACTCTGTTGTTCATACTGCTACTTTCCCATGTTTCCTATATGCCTCCCCTCTATTGGAGAGGATAACTCACCTTTACATGTGCGATAGTTATGGTTAATACTAAGTCACAGAGTTGGCTCGATCACTTTGAGATTCTAGTTGCTTTATCTCAAAGCTTTCACTGAAGGGCTCTAACTGAAAATTATTAAATGTTACAGTCTTTAGTCAAATCCCTGCATTGTTTAATGCAGAAAATAAAAATACAATTAAGGCTGAGTTAGTATCTGATATGTTTATTTTTAATGAATACATTATGCAAAAGTCTTCCATTGTGGATATACATGGGGCCTGATTACCTTTTGTTTTTAATGCAAAAGGCAGAACTAATGAAATTGCAGTAATGGATGGAACTCTCTTAGAACCATTATCTATATAGTTTGACAGTTGAAATAACTATAAAGACGTGCCATTTTGTGGTTGGTATGAGCAACATCTTGGTGATAGTCAGATATTAAGCTTATGTTTCCCAGAGAGAAATCCTCTGTATTCCAATAGCACCTTGTAGCTATCTTCATTACTGACAACCTTAGTTATATTGCAGTGCACTGTTTACCTTTTATCTGCTACTATACACTTCCACTCCCACAAACTGAACACAGGGACAGTCTATCTCACTACCATATTCACAGATGGGAAAAGGACAAAATATTCTATTAGAGTTATTAGGGGGAAAAATCCCATTACAAGCACATATACTGCCCTCATAAGAGTTTAGATTCAACACAGAACAAATGAGCTATAACAACTATTTCCATTTTAAAAAAACAATTAGAAATAGGTTATTAAAAACAATCACTTCTACTCTGTGAAAGCTAAGGAAATAGATTGTCCTCACTTCTGATTCATTGAATGTTCCAATATTGATGTAGAAAGCATAGAGCCTTATTTCATTTGATAGTAAAGAATAATGCAAGCAATATTGCCACAATCAGAATCTTTTATGTGTTTTACTACAAAATCATCGGTTATAACCCCTCACATCCTGAATTTTCCCTAAGATGTGTAGACTAAAATAAAATCACCAATTCATTCATCATAATAGTTGAAGATGATGGGGTGAAACAGTGATTTGCTAATGCTTCTTTAAGGCTTATCCTCTTGGGGAGTACATGTTTCTTGGGATTATGAAATGATCAACTTTAATCAGTGCCTGCCCATTAGCCCTTGCCCTCATATTACTGATGATTAATACCAAAAATATGTTTTAACATCTGTTGACTTCCTAGGATTTTGGAGTATTTGATAAGATATAAGCTAATGTGAATCCCAGACAAAGGTAGGCTAATCTAAGTAAGATTATGTCTGGTTTTTCAACTACACTTTTCAGAATTCTAATGGTAGAAAGACATTTTAAAAAGAAAACCGTTAACATAATCACAGCTTGCAAAGCTTCTTGTTTTTCCATGCTGTGATGGGACATTGGTTAAGCACACAGAACATAATTTCCTATGGCATGTCAGACCTTTCTCTTAGGTCTGATGAGGTCTATGGATAATTATGTGCAACAACCTACTGTGGCAGAGAAACTGAATTAGCAGTTACATCTGATAGTCTTCTCACAAAAGAATGTCAGTCTCTCACTATTTTATATCAGCTAATCTCTAGATGGACTTTCCTGGTTGAAGCTTGCTTTCTTCATCAGTCTCTTATCAAGAATGCTCTGGTTAAGAACTGATTCATATTAAGGACATTATTAATATATTGTAAGTATCCCTAAATATAAATTTTAATATTAAATATTAATAGGGATATTACATGATATTGGCATACTATATAATGTTCTTATACATATTTATTTCAAATGTTAACTGACCCAGATCTTTAAATATTTTCATTTGTCTTTATGCACCCTGAAACAAAAGTTTACTTCTTTGGTTGAAAATTCACCTTCACAAATACTCATATTACCAATTACCTTTCTCATAAAATATTAACTAGCATGTTTGTTCTTGATATTATTCTATAACAATATATAACGTAATTTGAGGGCAGAATTGTGTCAAAAGTGATACTTGGGAGTTGGGCGTGGTGGCACACCTGTAATCCCAGCACTTTGGGAGGCTGAGGGGGGCCAATCACTTGAGGTCAGGAGTTCGAGACCAGTCCGGCCAATGTGGTGATACCCCATCTCTACTAAAAATACTAAACTTAGCCAGGCATGTTGGCAAGCCCCTGTAATCCCAGCTACTTGGGAATCTGAGGCACGAGAAGTATTTGAACTTGGGAGGTGGAGATTAGAGTGAGTCGAGATTGTGCCACTATACTCCAGACTGGGCAAACAGAGTGAGACTCTGTCTCAAAAAATAAAATAAAAAATAAGTGACACTCGGGGTAACATCATTAAAAATCAAAAACCTGGTGCTTATTAAATACTGCACAAAAAGCACCCAAATGTTTACCAAATAATAGCTTTTTTTTTTCTTTTTTTAAGACAGTGTCTCACTTTGTCACCCAGGCTGGAGTGCAGTGGCACAATCTCAGGTCACTGCAACCTCTGCCTCCTGGGTTTAAGTGATTCCCCTGCCTCAGCCTCTCAAGTAGCTATGATTACAGGTGTGTGCTACCGTGCCTGGCTGATTTTTGTAGTTTTAGTAGAGACGGGGTTTCACCATGTTGGCTAGGCTGGTTTTGAACTCCCGACTGCAAATGATCCACCCACCTCAGCCTCCCAAAGTGCTGGGATTACAAGTGTGAGCCACCATGCCCGGCATTTAATAACAACTGTTTATAACCAAGAGTTGGTTTAGATCCCCAAAATAGGTAACTATCCTTTAATCACAGGGTTTTAAAAATAAAAAAATAAAAAGTAGATAGCTAATTACAAAAAATACACAACATTCTCAATCATAAATAATTTTGTATGATTAAGTACATATAATATCTGCAGACACTTGAAATGAATCTCATATGTGTTACGAAGGTTGGTCATTTTAAAAATTATATCTGCTGGGCAGATGTAGTAGTTAATGCCTGCGATCTCAGCACTCTGGGAGGTTGAGGCAGAAGGATCACTTGAGCTCAGGACTTCAAGACCAGTCTGGGCAACACAGGAAGATCCTGTCTCTATAAAAAATGTAAAAATTAGCTGAGTATGGTGATGTACACATTCTTTAAGTGAATCTTACAGACTCATTTTAATTTAAAATGAGTGCCAACACTGAAAAATGGTATAGTTGGGCTGGGCGTAGTGGCTCTTGCCTGTAATCCCAGCACTTTGGGAGGCGATGATGGCAGATCACTATCGGAGGTCAGAAGATTGAGGCCACTCTGGGCTAACCACGGTGAAAACTCGTGGTCTCTACTAAAAAATACAAAAAATTAGCCGGAGTTGTGGCAGGCGGTAGTAGTCCCCAGCTACTGGGAGGCTGAGCGCCGGAGGGAGAATGGCTTGCACCGGGAGGCGGAGTTGCAGTAAACCGAGATCACACCACTGCACTCCGAGCCTGGGGTGACAGAGTGAGACCTCATCGTCAAAAAAAAAAAAAAAAAAAAGAAGAAAGAAGAAAAAGAAAATTGGTATAGTTGAGTTGCATAATGTGATTTTTTTTAAAAAAAAGGCCAACATAGGCTTGCTTGGTGCCTTAAAATTTAATAAATATACTCCATATCTGAAACACATCACTCTTTTCTCATGTTAATCAATATAAAAGTAGAACAATAAAAATCAAGAGATACTAAAACAATATCAAAGACAAAACACAAAACCATCAAACTGATATAAGGGACGTAAAATACAATAATCTAATATAATCACAAAAAAAAAAAAAATTACCATCATCTTTGGCATAAGCCTAAAAAAAAACAATACCCAAAATCGAATTCTCACTACAATTTTATGCTTACAATAAGATCAGAGAAAAGAATTACAACCATCAATACATATAAATTTTCAAAAAAGCATCAGACATACAACATCAAATCACACTATTGAAAATACCCTAACCCTATAAATTACTCAGTACAAACATTAATCGAACGTCATTTGTGCGCTAAAAAAAAAGTTTAATATCTTTGGACAGAAATCTCAAATCTGGGATCTGGGGCACAATTGAGAGCTCCTACTGATTATTTTTTATTTGACCAGTCATATTTTCTGAAAATTTTATATTAAATTGCCTGTAGAGGCAGCTTATTTCTCCAATTTGGCCACAAACCCAACCTCTTCCTAACTTCGAGCTTACAACTTAACACAATTATTAGATTTGATCAATATTTGTGTGCTAATTTGAAAATATGACATAGAAAACTTGCTTAAGGGCCAGACGTGGTATTTCATGCCTAAATTCCAGCGGTTTGGGAGGTAAGCTGAGGATCACTTGTATACAGGAGTTTGAGACCAGACTGAGCAGCATGGTGAAACCCATCTCTACAAAGTACACAAAAATGAGTTGATTACTTGGCCATGGTGGCATGGCTCTAGTCCCAGCTACATAGGACGTTGAAGTGGGAGGATCACTTAGCCAGGAGGTGGAAGGCTGCAGTGAGCGGGATCTCTGCTACTGCACTCCAGCCTGAGTGACAGAGCGAGACCTTATCTCAAAAAAAAAAAAAAAAAGAAAAGAAAAACCTGTTTAGCAACGGTTCAGCACACATATTCTGCAAAACCAACCAGCAACAAAAGGAAAACCCAGGCCAAAGGAAAACCAAAAATCTTGATGCATTTTTTATGTGTAGATTTTGGTGAGGTATACTGAGCAAAGGAATGTCCTAGAAAAATAAGCCAATCAGTATATTTATCCCACAAATGTTTGCATTTTCAATAAATATTAAGCCAAAATAGCAGTATCTTCTTTTTCAATGAAAACATATTTGTAAAATATGAATATATATTATTCATGTATACAGATATTAAACGCTAACAGCTCTAGAATGAAGATATTGATAGAGCATACATACTGGAACACTGGAACATAAATTCTTTTTTTTTTTTTTTTTTTTTTTTTGAGACAGAGTCTCACTCTGTGGCCAGACTGGGTGGCAGTGGTTGCATCTGCTCACTGCAACCTCCATCTCCCAGGTTCAAGCGATTCTCTTGCCTCAGTCTCCTGAATAGCTGGGACTACAGGTACTCACCACCACGCCCCACTAATTTTTGTATTTTTAGTAAAGACGAGGTTTCACCATATTGGTCAGGATGATCTTGATCTCTTGACCTCATTATCCACCTGCCTCGGCCTCCCAAAGTGCTGGAATTACAGGCATGAGCCACAACGCCC